CATCCCTGTCCATCTGGACTAAAATAGGGAGCAGGAATTCTTAAAGGTAGTGAATAGGGCTAGTGTAATATTTACCACATCATCCTTCAAGTACCAGTACAACTACTAAAATAATGTCACTGCTATCTGTGTTACCATCGGAGTAGACAGAGAGTCGTGAGCCAGAAGATTTGGTTCCGCATGGCTAGTGCTGTCGCCACAGACTGGTCAGGTTAGGATGTATAATTTCACTTGCCGACAGAAGAACGCCATAACCTTACCGGCGGTCTTCACATGAGAGCACTATGGTGTAACAGCCCTGGTGTAACAACTATTACTGCTGCTGCTACTTTAAGTGGGTAAAGCAGTTACTGTGACTTAAAGCTCTCTCAGTTAATAGTTTGCCCCCTCCCCCCAAATTCACTGACAACTCTTTCCCTCATTGAAGTAGTTGGGAGAGAAAAAAAAAAGCACTTGAAAAGCAAACGAAAAAAACCCCGCCATAATTAGGAAATGAACGCCTTTGTAAACAGCACAGCTTAAAATTCCAACACAGATGAAATGACTAAATCTAAATGAAAATAAATGAAAATCTATAAAATTTCAGCGTAACCATGCAATCGGAAAGTTTAACAATGCAATCATAAGTATGCGAAATGGTCAAATTTAATTATCAAATGGTTTACCCATTTACTGGTTTTTTTTTTTTTTTTTAAATATTAAGGCAACATGGCTAGTGCTGTCACTACGGCAGAGCAGATGAGGATATTATTTTAGTCCGGGGCAAAAAAAAAATTTTAAAACGACTGCAGATTCGAACCCAGGTCTACCGCACATGAACCCAGTGTTCTAACCATTCGACCAAGCAGCTACTTAATCGGAACAACGAAAAGAGAACTCAACTATTAGACATGTGAGTCCATACTACTGTGTCGCGATTAAAACACAATTCAAAACCGCAGGCAATTGTTTTCTCGTAGACAGATACTCCAGATATATTAATGAAATAGAAATCGCACGTGTCTAACACGGTTAATGTCGCAGTCACTGTCTGCGCCGACGTCGAGATAGTCCTTGATTCCCCCCCCTCCCCCATCGAAGGTTGTTTGAAAACAAAAACGGAAATTATAAATCATGTTTAATATGGTTATTGTGGCAAATATAGAGATAGTCTTGTTTGCTGTACCACGACCTACTCTATGTAGAAGGCGTTGGCTGCACGTAACTCGCCGGCGAATGGTAAATACGGCGCATGCGCAATTACTAACGTGGCCATAATTAGAAATCACTAAAGTTATAAATATTAGTTGCGTATATTTTGGCAAAAATTGTGGTCACCTATCTCTAACAGTGACAGGTTGAATTTCAAACCACGACAGTTCAAAATCCGGTATCACAACAAACATATCCTGAAAATTTCAGCTAAATCGGTTCAGTAGTTTCCGAGTCTATAGGGGTGAAACAAACACACAAACATTGATTTTTATATATATAGATGGCTCGGTCTCTCTCTGCAGAAGGGCTAGCCACCTAACGAAAGTAACGCCCAGTGCACAAACTTTGTAACTCTGGCGAGAGTCCCCAAAATTGCACTCGTGAAGTGAAATGCGTAGTGGAACGAACTTCAGAGCTCGAGGCAAATGGCTTGACCAATTTGCCCCAAAGACCCCCGTTACCATAGCATTTCACCTTCAGTGTGACAAACTGGCAGTTTTAGTCTAATACATATTATTCAACTCGGAATTTCCTGGAGAATCATGACAATAAAATCTGGCAAGTGTGCGTGGCATGTTGTGTTGTGGTTTACAGCTAGGCTGTGATATCTGCACCTTTAGATCCCACCCATCTGATCTGATTTCAGCACAACCAGAACTTGTAGCCTCCTATGGCATGCTTGTTAGACAGCAGTGGGTCCATTCTGATGACCCTAAGAATGAGGCAGCAGTTTCCAACCTTGTTCGAGCTGATACCCCATTTTACATGAGCCACCATGGTGAAATGGGTAAACACTTGCCTGAAGGTCATGGGTTCAAGTCCTGATGGAGCCGTAACTTTTTTTTTTAGGTCACCTAGCCTTAAATTGGTATCAAGTAAAGTCCTGGGATGAAATCACCCATCAAATACCAACTGGTCTGTAAAATGTAGGTTTGGTCCTATTTCTCTAAAAGGTTAATGAAAATAGATTTTCTGAACAGGATATGATGATGTGATATTTGCTTTCTGTTCTGCACTACTGGGTGGTGAATTGATACATGATAAAGGCAGATGTGGTCAAGGCCCTTTAGGAACAAGCAATGGAATCAGTAGAGAAGCAAGATTATTATGGCCTGGAGAGAATGAGGCACCTGGGTGTAACTAGAGGGTCTGGCTGGCTCACTACACTCAGAGGAAAGGCAAGACAGACATATAACCAGACTGTGACCGGTACCATCAGTATTGTAACTCTGCGTTGGCTGCTGAAGATAAGGATGAAGCATGCATGGGAATGCCCTGAATGATGTGATGTCAATTCTTGACACAACTCGACATGTTTTCCATTTTTCAAATCGTCATAGCAAACCCTTCACAGCCCCAATTGGGGTCATGACCTGTGGGCTAGAAAACTACGCCATAAACAAGCAAGCTGGCATCAGAATACATAAGTCAACGCATGTTTGAACAATACACCTTTATTTATGTAGGCTATGGTTTCTGAGGTTTATTGATAGTCCCAACTCACACAGACCAGTCATTTTTCATAGCAATGTGGTATTTGTTCCTGCTCAATTTGCAATCCAAAAAGTGGCTCTTTGGGTCACTAGTTATCTGTGAGGTCGTAATCTTGAAGGAAAAATTTTGTTTAAAAAAAAGTTTTTCTTCGATCTCATTAGTTTTTTCCCCCCAGTATTTATTCATCATGGCTACTCACATGTCTGGTATTCTACTGGCCTGATAGCAATGTGATTTCTTTTGAGATACATCAGTTAAAATATATTTTATTAAATGTATTCTTGTGGCACTGTAGATTTATGTATTGTGCTGATGATTGCCTTTTAGCAGCAACGCTCTCTTGTTTGACACTGTGAAGCTGACTGATTCTACTTGTTTGATTTGATATCTTTTCATTCACTCCTGTCAGTGCTGTCTAGCCAAAATGGTACAGGAAACACTCAAAATGATACTTTGCTGACTACAAGGAGAAACTATATCATCCATTTCCAAAGAAAAACTAACATAACATAACCCTGGGCCCATTAGGGTCGTGGAGGTGTATTGATGGAAGCACTGGCACATAAAACCCACCATCTTTCTCTGTCTTCTGCTTGATGAATAAGTGTATGATAACTTAGTCCTGTCCATTTCTTAATGCTGTCATTCCAGTTTCTCATTTGTCCTCCTCTTCTTCGACAACCCCTAAATGATCCTTGAAGTATGTCATACCACGTGCCTAAACCAAGCTGTTTCACCACTGCTGTGCTGCAAATTTGTATATTTTGTCTCTGACATATTCATTAGTTTTGTGTTCTAAATAACTAATTCGTAAAATGCGTCTGTAGCATTTACATTAGAAAGCCTGAATCCTCCTTTCCATATCCACAGTGAGAGGCCAACTCACACTCATTTAAGAATATAGACAACACCAGTGATTTGTAAATATTGACCTTGGCTGCAATGCTAATTTTGCTCTTCCACGAGGTATTCAGCTGTGACATTGCGGCTCTTGCCACATCAAGTCTTGTCTTGATCTCTTTGAAACAGCTAAGAAAACTGCATGCATATGAAAACAGAGCTATGATGGTGAAAAGTGGCTTTCAAAGAACTCTTTTTGCTTATTTTGAACAGAATAGTTGTTTTGACTGCTTGTGTCAAACCACTTTATTATAAACACTTAAAAAACTGGATCTGTTGAAAATTTTATAAACAAAATCCTTTAAAAAACAATTTTATACAGGTCACTAATAAACTTTAAAAAAAAAAGCCTCTACACTTAATTGAATAAAGAAAACACTGATAGGTTGCACAATTTTACTGTATCTTGTCAGGTGCATATTAAAGTAATGACTACATAAATGAAGCAAATAAGTGAATCCTTTATAACTGAGGTACAATTTAAAGAACAATCAAACGCAATTGCCTGTTTAACCAGGGCAACTGCAGTGTCTGAATCGTGACTTTCTTTACTAAGCTCAGGGCGGAGGTTTGTGTCTTGAGGGTACCAGAACATTTAACAATGTGGCTCTAAAAAATCCCCGAAATTCTAAGATTATATATATATATATATATGTGTATTTATGCCTGGCTTGATTTACAGTTTTTTTATCATGGAATTGAGGCCGAATGCTTGCGATATCCATAGTACCAAGCCAAAGGGTTAACAATTCATTATTTCTAGATATTAAAAAAACAAAATTAATAAATACGTACATATTGTTTTTCTTTTTAGTGTTCACCGATCACAAATTTTAGCTGAAGTTCTGGATGTTCAGCCATTCTTGGACTTTGGTCTTGATCCAGAACTTGAGTTTTGTATGTGCATCCGTTTTAGAGATCTGGTTTATCTGCATGCATCTAGAGCTGGATGAACAACCAGAACTTTCAGCCTGGAGATTACAGCTGGTGAGAGCAAAGAAGAAAAAGACCTTACTAGAAGTGCCAAGGTTTGCGGCTTTTTTAGGGTAAAAGGATTAAATCCTCACTGCCAGTGTCAGTATATTAGCTCCTCAAGATTTACGATTTAAGTTACGAGTTAACAAACTGTTTTGAACAGAAATATCGGTGAATCTTATACCCTAAATATCATTTCATACGCTGTCTTCTTTTCATTATGTTTGGCCAGTGCATGTTAATGAAATCTGGCCATTTCAATAAATGACTTCCCATAACACACGTGACACAAACAAATCTTTTTTTCAAGGATCCGTAATGGAAAACAGATTTCTGAGTGTAGCTTCAAGCACTTTAGATTTAATAAATGTTACAACGTGATGACACTACACTAAACAACGCTACAAAGATGTCCCAGTAAAAACACAATATTCCCATTAAATCTCCAGTGCCTGCTTCTCTGCTGCAAGTCTTTGTGCCACCAGCTCCTGCAGCCGTGCTTCCAAATGACGTGTATCTATCCCCTTCTCTTTCAATTCTGGTATTGTCTGACTCAAGTGGAGCTCTTCCAAAACCGGAACAGGCCTATAAATCATCTCATCCAAATCGTTTTCCTCGCGAAGGTATAAAAAGTACACCATGAAGACAAATAAACTGGAAATCACAATTAATGGTTCGTATTTGTTAGCCTCTCTGGGTTTAAACTTGGATGGGACGTTTGCGGCACTGCTGGTGAACTTGATGGGCTCTGCGCTGATTTCTTTTTCGGTCCTCATGTAAATCTGTGTTCCGTGTATACCACAGCAAACAGGCCCAGCTCTGAAATATAAAAAAAAAAAAACAAAAAAGGGATAGTAATTAAAACTATTTAATACTCTTATTCATAAAATATGGAGTCTCTGTGGGGTATTACACACAAAAGAAAAACAAAACACGGAGAAACAAATACACAGTGATAGGAAAAACAGATACACAGTGATAGGGAGAAACGGATACACAGTGATAGGGAGAAATGGATACATAGTGATAGGAAAAACAGATACACGGTGATAGGGAGAAACAGATACACAGTGATAGGGAGAAACTGATACACAGTGAGAGAGAGACAGAAAGCGTAAAACGGGCACAAAGTTAGAGAGAAAGAGTGAAACAGATACACAGCGAGAGAGAGACACACAGAAAGAAACTGATACACAGTGAGAGAGAGAAAAAGCAAAACAGATGCACAGTGAAAGAGACAGATAGAAAGAGGAACAAATACAGTGACATTTTTTCAGGCAATGGCTATTAAGTGGCTGTGTCTCATTGGTCATTGGCTGCCATCATGTTCAATGACAGTCCAATGTAAACAAAGCCAAAATGAAAGTTGCGCAGTTTGGTTGCGCAGAGAAAACTTCTTGTTTCTGGGAGACAAGTTTTAGCAGCTGTTTTTTACATCTCATCTCCACAAAAACCTAAATATCTCAGCTCAGAAATGACATACAAGCCTAAATGAGGTACCATTGGAAAGAGATTATTTACAGCTATCTAACTGTGCTGGTTTTATTATTGTAGAGGGCATTTTAAAAATTTGACTAATTATATCATACCATTCAATTCCCTCTGAGTGCTCATTTTTGCGACCCTTTGAAGTTAATTCGTACGTTCATACACCGCAACAGTGGTAAATACAGGCGGTTTCTGGAACTCACATAATTTATATACTACAGTGACTTGTATCACTTCAACAGAACTGTTTGCATATTTATCAATAAAACCATGTTTTGCAGATTACACATACATTATATAACTACTCCAGTAAGCAACAATGCCCCTGACAGGGACAGTGACGTTTGACAATTTAAATAATAATTTATTTTTACATTATCTAGGCAAGATTGAAGTGTTAATGCACAATTACCTTTTCAGATGCAGAAATCCTGAGATAATCTTAGGATGACCCCGACAAATTAGTTTATTTAAAGCCATCTAAGCTCGCAAATGTTTTCCGCAAGTTGAAAATGAGTTATATAACTTCGTGACTTTGAGAAGACCCAAGTTTGACTTTTTAAACAGTCTAGTTGTTCAAAATTCTAAGGTAAAGATACGAAACAAAATATTTAATATGGTAGTTTTTGAAGTCCAAGTAGCAGAAAGCGGGACATCCAACAGATATTATGAGCTACAAACGGGACATCCCACCAATGTTACAATTTTAAGTTGAAAACGGGACGTCCCACTTGTGACAAAATTTTGAGCTACGACGGAACACTTCACCTACAATAAAATTGTAGCTGAAAATCTAGAAGTTCGCGTAAGAACATGAATGCTAACTGGGTTCAACAGTCTGTGATAACTAGATGTCACTGTATGAACATCATCATTACGTAGATATATACACTAGTTTACTCAAGAACAAAAGGTAAAGGTCAAAGTCTAGACAATCAACTTTATTGCACGGGCTTTTATCTCTGCAAAACTGCTAGCCGCCTGCCTGAGCGGCACACAGAGCACGAACTTCGTAGCTCCGGCGACGATCCCCATTAAAACTTACACCCGTGAACTGAATGGCGCAGCCGTAAAACGAACCTGCGATATTCAAAGCGCAAGGCAAACGGCGTGACCACTTCGCCAGGGCAAGTAAGAGATACTGAAAATTGGCAATAATCACAGTCATACCACGATCATTAATATAGTTGGCATCCATCTGCCGGCCACTTTCAGGCCGTCTTCGGTTGAAGAAGGTCCTTTGCAGAGCTTGGCTGCCATCGTGGCACGTCAGAAAGACCCTAAATTCACTGAAAATTTTTCTGCTTTAGTGATCACTGTCTGTGACATACTTTGGTCATTCTTATGCTGGTTGACTCCTGTCCTTTCTCAAGGAACCATCATTCCATACCATTGAGCAGTTTCTTTTTTCAAGTCAGATGGCCTACATCTATGAAGTCACATGTCAGCTGCAGGCCCCTCGTGGTTTCCCTATAGCTTGCTATGCACACTTCCCAGTGTGGGTTCTGGGAACCCTTAATGGAGGAAAACAAGGAGTAGAATCGATGCCTCATTTCTACCCTACCTTCCTTGGAAAAGGAAATTGAATAGACCCACTGCGCCCGCCCCCCACCACCGGTGTAGAAGTCGTCTGATTGTGAGTGCTATTTGCCCAAACTGCAAGGAACAAATAACTGCCACATGAAAAAAAGCCAGTTAAACCGTGTTTACACTTTTAGCCGGAGCTTACAGCCCAGGGGTAAACAAAAAGAAAAGAA